TTAAAAAAGTTAGAGGGTGCATTAGTGATTATCAACAAAATTGAAACAGGGCTTGAGTGAGAGATTCACTGTTACATTATGTATGAATTATATTTAAAATGTTCAGAAGGAAAATGATTTGGCATCTTTAAGAAAAAGCTTCTTTTTGCACCAGGGTCATCTTTAAATTTTCTGTATGTGGTGTTTCTTCGTTGTCGCTGGGATCATCTGGACAGTGACGTTTTCAGCAGGTCTGTGATGAGAACCTGGGGTGTCCCTGGGTGCTGCCCCTTGTCGTTTCTCCCTTGAGTTTACCTGGAAGCTTGGTGTCATGGGAAGATCCGAGAAGCAGCGAGTGTGGCTTACAGTTTGGGCTCGATCATTAACTAGATCTGTGACTTTATGGAAGTCACTTATATTTGCTGGCCTTCCGTTTCTGTTTTTTGATAGCTATGATGAAATGTTCCAACAAAATGACATTCGGCTGTGACATTGTTAAAGAATAAAAGGAGTCAGTCAAGTTCTTTGTTAAACTTTGCCCAACTTAGATGAAAAGTAAAACTTGTTAGATTTCAAAGGCGACTTGGGCCTGGGAGGCGTGGGCGTGTGTGAGTGTGAGTGTGTGTCGGGCGGCCAGGCTGGGCGGGTGCCCACACGTACCACTGCTCTCTGACTTGAGGAAATTGCCCAAGTGTCTACTGCAAAGGTGAATCCGGGAGTTAAGCTTAAGTCAGGTTTGAATACAATTTGCATTCGATTATAAGCCTTTTCTCTTAAAGGAAACCTACTTCTTGAGAGTGTTTCCTCATCTTCAATAGAAATTTCATAGTTATTTTTATGTCGTCAGCAATCTCACCGAGGTGAATGGCAGTTACAAATGAAGGAATTGGCTAATTTTTTTCAGAACATGAAAATAGTCTTTGTATGTATGTAGACAGTGCTGTGAAAATCAAGGTCGGGGCTCCCGGAGGTCAGGCCTGAGCGCCGAGGCGTGTGGACATAGGCACCATCCCCTTTTCTCCGTGATGCGTAGTCATCAGATTGATTTGACTGCACTCTTCCTTGGCATCTCATCAGGTTTTTGGATTTCTGAGGCCACCTTTCAAGATACAACAACTCTTTCTTCCTTCCCTGATGAAGTGTGACCGTTGGTATCTTGATTTTCTTTCCTTTGACAATAAAAACTTATTTTACTGTTTTTCTTTAGAGGTCAGGACTACATTACTGTAGTTATTAAATAACTTGCTTATAGTGAAGAAGGTTTCAAAGTAACAATGTATGGGCAGCACTGTATAATTTCTGTGATTTCCTAATAATATCTGCTTTATCAAATTTTTTGGCATTTGACACAGTGATGGTATCATTGAAGGACACACTTCACTGACTGATGCCTCAAGATTCTGGAATTGGGATGTAAGTGAAAAGAGAGATTTTGTGAAATACATCTGATGCCATAGGGAGTGAGATGACTCCCCTATTCTGTTTCCTGTAGTTTATTTTCCTTCTTTTACATGACTGTTAAATGTTGCGAGACTTGACCCTGTCTAGACCCCTTTAACTTTACATGGGGGTGGAGGGTTGGTTAAATAGCCCAGCCTGTCACTGGGTGTGCGCCCACTGAATCAGTACCTCCTTCAGTACTGGCTTTTGCACCGTTTTCCATAGGCAGTGCTGTGCGGTGGGGCCGAGCATGGGTTTTGCAGAGCCAGAGGAATCGGTTTGAGTCCTGACTCATTTCTTTGCTGCGTCATGTCAGACCACTGTTCAAATTTTCTGAGCTTTACTCTCCTTGTCCATGAAATTAGGGTGCTACCTGCCTTGTCTGTTGTGAGAGTGAAATAACAGGATGTATATAAAGAACCTACTGTTTAGCAGGTGCTTTGAGAATTACTGTTGTCTGATTAATGGTTATCAGTAATATCTTAAAGTTTGAATGTCACTGATTTATTAAATATTCTGAGGAACCTCTTCCTTCCTGTGTGAGCAGTAGGAGAAGAAAAATCATTCCAACTGAAAAGAGGTTGAACAATTGATCAGAACATTTGTTCAAAAATTGAACAAACATTTGTCTGTTATTTTAGGAGAGATTCTTACTTGATGTTCATTGGGATTTGAGAACAGGTGAAGCAGCTCATGTAAGAAATACTTTATTTGCTTTACGCAGTGTGGACAGCACTGTTTACCCAACACACTCTTTGGATATGCATTCAGATCTTATTTTAATATCCCACAAGATATTTTATTGTTGTTTTGTATACTCATTATTTATTTAGATTTACCCATTATTTACATTTCCATTGTTTTTCAGTTCTTTAATTGTGTGCATTGTCTGGTATCTTTTTCCTTTGGAACTTCCTTTAGAATTTCTTTCAATACAGGTTTCCTCTCCGTTGGCTCACCTGAACATGTCTTTATTCCACAATCACTTTTCGAAGTGTACTTTTGCTGGTTGTAGAACACTATGGCGGCACTTGTTTGTGGTTCTTGAATTTCCACTTGAATTAAAAAATAGATCCTGGCTCTGGTGAAATTCTTCATCTTGATCTGTGTCTTTTTACACCAGTGCTCCTTACTTCGAAGCCTTTGTCCGTAGTAACCAGGCTGCCCCTGGATCCCTTCCCACCGTCCTCCTCTCTCGGTGCCCCTGTTGGCATACCTGGAGGTTTGTCGTTGAGCACCTGAAGCTGCATGAAGCGCCGCAGAGTTCCCGGCGATGCAGGGGCCAGAACAGGGGAGACATCACCCCCGGGGTGGTCAGGGCGAAGCGGCGAGCGGACACACTTGTTTCACGCCCTGCGCACATCAGTTTCCCTCTTTGCTCAGCCCCCCTCCCTCGGTGTGACGCTCCGCAAGGCACAGCAGGAAGGCTGGTGGGCTTTCCGTGGCCTCTGCTTCCGTGGGTTTGGCCTCTGGGCTTTCTCTCCCCAGCATGGGCACCCGAGCAGGCCTGAGCTCACCTCTCTGTGAGTCCTTTCCTTCGGGATGTTTGTCTCAAGGCGTGGCTGCTTCTGCAGCCCCGTGTTTCCCATTTGTGTCCCCTGACCCCTGTGACATTGCCAGAAGCCCTGCCGGCCTCTCTGCCTCCCGGCAGCCTCCCCGTGGCGGCTCCGTGAGCTTCCAGCCTGGCGTCCTCGGGTACGAGCAGCACAGGTGGTGTCTGGCCCGCCTCCGGGGTCCCGTCTCTCTGGATCTCGGCCTGTCAAATCCTGGCTGCCTGGGAGGCTCTGCAAGGTCTTTAGACAAGTTCCTTTTACATATTCCATTTTCCTGGTTGTTCTTGGAAAGGAGCACTAGTTGTTACAAGCTACTTTTGTCAGCCAGAAACTGCAATTCTCCGTTTATTTTCTTTGCATTAAAATTAATTCTCTCACCTGCTTCAGAACTGCCGCGTGTACAGGGCAGGTGGTGGCCAGGCCCCAGGCCAGTGGAGGACCCAGTTTCCTTGGTCTCCATCTGCCTCGCTGTTCTGCCCTTTACCTTCAGCTAGACGTGCTGTCATTCCTTCCCTTGTATAATGTCATTTATTCGTTTCAGTGAAGGCAGTATTTCAATGATGTCTTTGGGTGAATGAACATTTTAATATAGAGAGCAAAAAGCATAATATGCTACTGATAATTAAATTTTCTATTAAAAAGGAAGTATGATACTAGAATCACAGTGAAAACTAAACTTACAAAAGCTGTATTTGTAAGACTCAATATGAAAAGAAAAGGTATGAAGAAAAGCTTTTACAAGTATCATAGTTTGTGTCTTATTTTACCTTATTCTCTCTCGACTAATAATCGTTGGTTAAATGTGCCTTTTTTGATGATTGTGGGAAAAGTAAGTCTTAAAAACTATGTACATTATAGTTTATGAGTATAATCATAACTAGACACATAATTTCTACAGTTAGAAATTATAAGTAAGTTTTTAAAATAAAATGGACACATATTTACCCTAACTAAAGAATCAGATGCTAAATCCAGAATTACCAAAAAAAAACCACTCATAGATTCTTTTCTTCCTTATGTCCTCATTTGCTTATTCTAATGAAGGACCTCTGGGGCTAAGATTTGTAATAATATGTATCATGCGAAATCCTGTTCAGTAGCCAAGGTAAAGGGGTGAGTCTTTGACTTATTTTTTCATCTTATCCTGTGTGGTAGCCAGAAGATTGCACCTCACAGACCGCTGTCTAGAGGGAGCCCAGGTGGCCGCGGCCCAGCCCCTGTGCCCGAGGACAGGAGAGTGGCAGGGCCCAGGAGGGGGCAGGGCCGGGGCAGGTCTGTCCCTGGGCACCCGGAAGCTGCTCTGAGGGCGGCTGGCTGGCTCACTTCCTAGGCTGCCGCAGTCCGGATCATTCCCTGGCTTCCATTCCAGCCCTCCTTCACCCGGTGGGGTCTGTGCTGTGGTCTCTCAGCTTCCCTGGGCCTACCTGGCCCTCCCCGCATTTTCTCTTAGAGGAATTTCCCTTACAGGAAGAAAATCTTGCATGTTTGATCCCGTCTTGGTGGCCGCTTCTGGAAGGCCCTGGACTACATTCTTCTACGATTTCTATGAAAAGACACTACATGTGAAATTACTAAGGCGAGAAAGGATGTATACTATAATTTTAATAACAACAATATTTAATATTGCTAGATTCTTAAATTTAGGGAAGTTGAAATTTCGTGTAATTGAGAGCTAGCCTCTCATTTTTTTCACAGCCGTTTGTTTACATGTAAACTTGTTTTTGGAAAGTCTGAAGTATTGCAGTGGTCAGATCAGGGACTCATGTTCATTTACCCAGTGATTGGAGAGCCGTGACGTATTAAGGAGTCACCTCTGAGATACCTAAGGGTATTTAATGACAAGTGGAAGTATTTCTGAGGGCGTCAATAACTGATACATTGCTGAAAGCAGAATTATTCAGGGTAAGGATTGTGACAGGTTTATTTGCTTCAGGTCCTTAGTGCTTCTTGTTTTCAGTTTGTGTGCTTTCTAGAAGAGTGCTTGCATTTTATATATTAGTGTTCCAATTTTTCTGTCTTTTTTTGCAGAATCAGAGTGAAAGATTCGTTTTCATTGCAGAGTGGTATGATCCAAATGCTTCACTTCTTCGACGCTATGAGCTTCTGTTTTACCCCGGGGATGGATCTGTTGAAATGGTAAAGGAACCTTCCTTTAAAGTTGGCAAAGGGAGTCAAGTTGGGAGAGGGAGAGGATTGCCTTTTATACAGTTGCTCTTAAAAATACATACATATATGTGTATATATACACACAGTCTTTTTATCAGTGGGAATTCTTTTTGGCATTGTAATTCTGATAAAAGAAAGTAACTTTGTGCCTTTATTTTTACTGCCAAAAATAGGAATTAATGATTTTGGGTTAGAAAAATGAAATTGGACTATTCATTCATATTTGGGATGAAGCAATAGTAAGTGTTGTAGGTAAAGATTATCATGGTTATAAATGTGTCACCATTTCTGAAAGCTGTTATCTACAAAAAGTCAAATTAAAAAAGATCAAGGTAAGACTCCCACTTATTTATTTGTGTCCCTTCATTGACAACCCCTTTTACAGATGGATCTCTTTGGTTCTGGGATTTTGTGTAGGCAAGAAATCAGGAATTTGGAATTTTTCTGGGATTTCATAGGCACCGATTTGCTGAAATGATTTGTCGATAAACAAATATATCACTTTAACACAAAGCATTAAATGTGTAGTAAGTTTTTAATGTTATTACTGGACTACACTAGAAAATATGGAAGTTAACATATGAATGAAATTATGATTGTATCTATAGCAAAACCAAAACTGAACATAATACATGTTTAATAAAGCAGATCTAAGAACTATTTCCAGTCTCCCTGTTGGTAACTGTTGTACTGCGTTGTTCTGGTTCCAGCATGATGTGAAGACTCGTTGCACCTTTTTAAAGCGGACCAAATACGATGGCCTTCACTTGGAAGATTTATTTATAGGCAACAAAGTGAATGTCTTTTCTCGACAGCTGGTGCTGATTGACTACGGGGATCAGTACACAGCTCGCCAGTTGGGCAGTAGGAAAGAAAAGTAAGAAAACCATCGTATATCTTCTTTTCTTCTTAAAACGTTATATGTGTCTTGGCACCAAATTCTAATTTCTTGTTTCTGTCTTGTGTTTTTACAGCATAGGTATTTTTTAGTGATCTAATTCAGTGATACGGCATTTTTAGTATTTTGTGGAGCAGATTCTGAGATTGGCTCTTCACTCTGGGTAGTAAAGTGATGCCCATTGTCTTAGGCAGTGATTATTTTCTGGAGGAAAAAAATACAAAATTACATTTTTGTGACCTCATCATTCTTTGTACCATGCATCTAACTGGGAACTGAGAATATTTTAATATAGAAAGTCTTGGTGTATAGGAGAAATGCAACGCGGCTCATGGGGAAAGCTACAGTGAGTACGTGAGCTCAGCGGGAACTCAGAAGGGAGCGGCTTCCTGTGGAAGAGCAGGGGAGGCTTTGCGAGGTATCTGAGCTGCATCTCGAAAGATGGATTGGATTTTTACCTAGTTTGATTCAGTTGGGGGGATGCTAGTCAGAGGGGTGAGTGTCAGCAAAGGTTCAAAAGTAGGAAGTTATATGTCATGTAGTGGGAAGAGCCCGTTTGTGCTGCTTGACCAACTTGGTGTTTAAGTTTTTAAAAATTTGATTAGTAAAATAACAGCATGATTTAGGATGGTAGCAACAGGCCTGAAGATGAAGGAATGTGTAAGTTAATGGAAGTAGAGCAATAGTAGTAATAAGTTACTATGTCAGGCCCTGTGTTCAAATGATTTGTATGCATCATTTATTTAAGTCCTGCAACCTCGTAAAACACGTGCTGTTATGATCGGCTCTACTTTGCTGATGGGGAGGCTGAGGCTGAGGTTGGGTAACTTGCCTTAAGTCAAGAGCAGAGGAGCAATTCCGGCCCAAGGTCAGCCTGCATCGGGGGAGGGTTGAGTCACTGGAGAACAGACAGGACCTGGGCAGCTGCCGCCTGTCTGTCTCAGATCATTTTTATGTCTCCTGCAGCGCCTGGCATCTCTCCTCATGTACGACAAGAACCTCATCTGTGTAGCTGAATCAATCAGTGATAACAACTTAAAATGTGTCATCTGTTCTTTACTTTTCTTCATTTCCTCCCTTTTCAAGTGTTGACCTGTGATCTAGTGACAAAGTTGTTTCTGTCCAGATTGTTTGTAACAAATGTCTGTTCGTGAGCTTTATTCACAGACAAATGTCTGGTAAAAATGACGTTAATTGAGAAGAGAAAATATGAGTGTTGTAAAAAGGAAAAAAACACTAAAAATTATGGTGTAGAAAAACTTACCTGTCTTGTTCACAACTGTATCCCTAAAAACCACTGTAGAGATGCCTCAGATGGTGACTTACTCACAGGGAAGGCCCCACAAGACCTTGCTGAGCGAGGGAGCGGACAGGTGTGCCTCTCCAAGGGTGGTCACTGTCCGGGAAGAGCCTGGCTGGCTGGCCTCCCCGCCTCCTTGCCCCCCTCCCACTGCACCTGCCTCCTGCGAGGCACAGACTGCAGCAGGGGGTCTGCCGCGGTGCCCAGGTCTCCCCTCCTCATTTGTCAAAGCTCCACTTCTTGTGATTTTTCCCGTTTGGTTTAGAAGAGAGACAACAAGTTGGAGGTGCAGCTAAAGATCAGGCCCAGAACAAGGGCTTTTTAATAATGGTTTTCTCCTGAATATCAATTTTTAGTATTACTGAAATGACATTGTAATTTCCTGTCTCTGCATTTATGAGTTTGCAACTTTCTGAGACTAGAATGACTGTATTTGAATTGAAATTTTAACTCTTTTGTCATCTTTCTTGGCTCTGGTTTCTGTAGCTCTTTTTCTGTGTTGTCCTGGGAGAGTCTTTGCATTTGTGCAGTGAGTGTTGCAGTAATTAAAATAGGGATCACTGGTGAAGGAAGTTAAGCCTAGCTGTGTAAAAAGTTGCAAAGACTATTAATTTGATAGGAAAAAAGTCTGTCAAACTATATTTTGAGTGCTGCCACCCAGTAGCTAGCTGATCACCTAATAGCAGAGTCATCCCCAAGTAATACTCTCCCTCTGATGTCTTTGCAAGCCCTTTAGAATTCTCAAGGTGGTTTGATGTCAGTGTGGGTATTAGTACATGGATGGAGATGGAGATTTGTGGTAAATGCCTCATAAAAAAGCAAGACAAAAATTCCCAGGAAATTTTGAAATGGGGAAAGAAATTAGGATGTTGATAAGTAGGCACCTCTCATTATGAGATCCAACAGTAAAAGTGTATGGATTTAAGGAAACACCACCTGTAATTCCTGTATTCACAAGTAATAAATGCTTATACTTTACTTAGGTGCTCCTGCTATTTGCTGATCAAGGGAATAGGCACTTTTCGTATGCATCTCAGTTCAAGACTACATTTTTTCATTTAAAGTAGCAAAAGTAAATGAATCAGGGAGTCAGGGTTAATAGTATGACTCATTCAAAACAAAATAATAATAACTCTGACAATTGTAGTTGATGCATGTTGACTCTGATCTGTGTAAGGTGGGTGTTGTCGGTTCTGTTCTGTGGAACAGCAGAGTGGCCCGGCCCCAGTCCCACCGCTGGACAGGGGAGCCAGGAGACCTGTCTGTATCTGACTCTAAAACTCATTCTTCTAGTAAACCTCTAAGTGTATATTGGTGAGTACTATTGAAGGGACAGAAGAATGTGAGGAAAAATTTTAAATATTAGGGCTTTGTGATGTAATTAATGAAAATACGTGCACTATTATATTTTTACTGATTTGTTTCACCATTTTCTCTTCTAATTCTTTCCTAACTGCCACCAAGTTAGTAAATCCAGCAGCCTTTTGGCTGAACTTCTACAGAATTGAGGAGTTTCGAAAATGTATTGTTTAATTTAAATGACCAAAAAACGAGGCATATGGAGAGACATGTGTGTCTGTCATGGTCACATAGAAGCAGCTTCTCTGTAGTGGTTGTCAGCAGCCCAGTCTCGAGCTGTATGGTGCCAGTGAGCTAACCGCATCCCGACTGTGTTCACCATCCTCAGCTCCTGTCTTCACAGTAGAAAGACTAGTCAGAGGGGGGTAAGGCCCATCTCCATGGCACCCCCCAGCTGATTTTGAAGCAGTTCCCTGACAATTCAGTGTAATGTAATTTAGCTCACAAAGAACCTCAGTTTTCAAATCCCTCTGGCTGTAAAAATCTGACATTGATTCACTTCCTATTTTTTTAAATCACCTTTGTGGGGTACAACTGACATTAAAGAGCTGTAGATATTTAATACATACAGCTTGATGAGTTTGAAGATAAGTGTATACCTGTGAAACCATCACAATGAAACAAAAATTTATCGCCTCCAAAAGTTTCTCCCACCTGCTTTATTAATTTTTGTGTTGATTTTTCCTTTGTGGTAAGAATGCTTAACATAAGATCTACTCTTAGGTAATTTTTAGTCTATTGTCTCTTTATAAAGCTCCTCAAATCAAATTGATAAAGGTTATTAGTTGTCAGTGAATCAGAGTACTTGATTTTAGTTTTAGGGAAGGAATTGATGCTTTCTGGTTCTGTTTGGCTATAAATACATATTATAAGCTTCTTGTCACCTCTTGAGCTCAGTCTCTGTTCACCCCTCCATACTGCTGACCAGGGTGCCAGATGAAGATCAAGGTATCAGTTTATTTGGGCTGTCTGCTGGGAGCCACACGTGCAAGCAGTTGAGGCTTTCTCCAGTTCCTGCGTCTCCTACCCCAGGGGTTGCCTGTCCTGGTTTGGGGCTCTTCTGCCTGCTGCACACCTTGGGAACAGCCACTGAGTGAAGGGCACCGAGCCCCAGGGGGGCTTCCGTGCGGGCGCTGGACTCTGACTCGCCCGGCCTGCCACCTGGAGGCAGGGGGCCTACAGGTCTGCCAGTGTGCCGGCCACGCCAGCTCAGGAGCCGCCACCTGCAGAGACTGGTGACTGGATGGAGGTGGTGGGGCAGCCCCCCTGCAGCTGGAGCACCCACGTTATCAGCAGGAGCTGCATGCACCGTGTGCCTGCTGCTCTCGGGGCCCTCTGGGCTTCCAGCCGCCAAGGCTGCGCCTCAGGGAGGGACCCGCAGAGTTTAGTTCCATGCTGCTCACCTTTGGGAAAGCACCGACTCCACCCCAATGCCTGTTACTTCCCACATGCAAGTGGTTGAGTTTGGCCAAATGGCACTTAAATGCCATCCAGTGAGGCCTTGGTTCAGTTACCAAGACCTTGTGAAGAATTCACCCTCTAATCATTTCGCACCTTCACCTACCCATGGTTTCAGTGTCCAGGATGACACACTGTTGGTTATATGATCGCCCTGTAACCACATAACTGCACCCCAAATATGCCATGAAAAATGCCTCTTCATTACTCATTCTCAGAGAGAAGTTAGGATTCCTTCCTCTGTAAAATAAGGTCAAATTCTGCCTTTTAGTGTTGAAATTCTCCTCCGCTGGTCAACGGGTATCATGCTGAGTGAAATAAGCCAGGTGGAGGAAGACAAAACCACATGATTTCACTCACTTGTGGAAAATAGATTTTTTTAGAATTTATTTTTGGAGTGTGTCTACTGGCAGATTGTCATCATCTGAAAATGTCTTTATTTCACTTACATTCTTGAAACTACCTTCTTATCTATGCCCTCACTTTTTCTCTGTGCTTCATTCTTAAGAATTAAAGAATTAAAAATCTTCCCTTTGGTTGCATCTAGTCTTCTGTCAAACCATTTGTCTAGTTCTTGTTTTCATTATTGTGTTTTTATCACTGGCTGTTCTAATAGATTCTTTTTCAGATCTGCATATTCATTGTTTGTAGCGGTGGTTTTCCGTTGCCCGATGATACTCTGCAGCGTGCCTTTCAGTCCTTTCATCATAGTAGGCAAGTCATTTCACTGCCTAAATCTGTGTGTAGGTGTTTCTCATTCTGTGCTGTTTCTTCTGGCTCTCCCCCATGTTGTTCTTTTTCCCAGTACGCATGTGCGTGTGTGCGTGCGTGCGTGCGCACATGTGCACGTTGTGTATGTATATGTGAGTTACTTGGGGTTCAGGGGGAAGTTGCTTTCCTCCCAGGGAGGAACGTGTCGCTTGGGACTGTTGCCCAGAGGCGTCAGCGATCTGCGCGGGGGGTACCCAGGCTCCCATGCGGGAGGTCCCGGCTCCCATGCGGGAGGTCCAGGCTCACATGCGGGAGGTCCAGGCTCACATGCGGGAGGTCCCGGCTCACATGCGGGAGGCCCCAGGCTCACATGAGGGAGGTCCCGGCTCACATGCGGGAGGTCCCGGCTCACATGCGGGAGGCCCCAGGCTCACATGCGGGAGGCCCCAGGCTCACATGCGGGAGGTCCCAGGCTCACATGCGGGAGGTCCCGGCACACATGCGGGAGGCCCCAGGCTCACATGCGGGACGTCCAGGCTCACATGAGGGAGGTCCTGGCTCACATGCGGGAGGTCCCGGCTCACATGCGGGAGGTCCAGGCTCACATGCGGGAGGTCCCGGCTCACATGTGGGACGTCCAGGCTCACATGCGGGAGGTCCAGGCTCACATGCGGGAGGTCCCGGCTCACATGCGGGAGGTCCCAGGCTACCTGGGCAGTGTGGCCTTGTGCTGCCTGACCACGGAGTGCCTGCTTCTGTGTGGTTCACCCCGAAGAGGAGCCTGTGGTCCCAGATTATTCGGGAGAACCCTCTGTTGGGTCACCTGCCTCCCAGGGCTGTCGTGCAGATGGACGCCCGGATCTGCAGATGGGGAATGTCGTCAAGGCCTGTGCAGTTTGCATTTTCAGTTTTCTGGGTCCCTATTTTTCTCTCACATTTGCACTAATGATTGTTAAGTATCTTTTCAATGTATGTTTGTTTTTAAAAATATTTTTAAAATATTCATATCCACTGTTTTTACTCTTCAATGGAAGGGTTATTCTGAATAACTTGGCCTCACTGCCAGCCGAGAGCTTGGGCCTGCATGCCTGCTACAGCCGCTGGGGCCTCGTGTGAGAGGGTCTTCCTGCAACCCTGGGGCAGGCGCACACTTTCTGCTCGTTTACAGATGATTCCTTTAGGTGCTCAGCGCTGGGGCCCGTAGGCCCGTCTGTCCGGGATGTCCGTCCTCAGCACTTGGCTGGTCATCTTTTTCACGTACCTGGATCACACTCAAAATTGCTGCAAGTTCTGCTCAGAGCTTGATGGTTTATGGACAACATATTTTTTTTGCATGGCTGTGTGAACACTTATTTTCCAGAAATCTGCATCCTGTCTGAGTTTTATGAAGGCCGGCTAACCTGTTTTTGTCATTCTCCATTGCTAAGAAATTTTAATGTAAAGGAATGATTTTCATGTTTTCGTTTTCTTCTGAGAGCCCCTCATGCTGGGGCCTAGTGCAGGTGAGAGGGCTGCTCTGTGGTGGATGGTCCCAGCAAGCCACAGCCGTGGCGCCTGTGTCCTTGGCTAGGCACCTGCGCCCTGTGACTGGCATTGGCAAAGGGACATTAGCAAAGCTGCCTCAGGCACGTGCTGTATGTGGAGGAGCCTGGCCTGGCCTCCAGAAGCATGAGGGACCACAGGGGACCACACGGCAGAGAAGCCTCACTGGCCCCGGTGAGCCGGCCCCTGGTGACCTGCCAGCCAAGCACAGCTGTGTGAGAGGTCCTGGGCAGACCACTGCCCAGCCAACTGCATAATCCTGAGATTACTTTTTTAAGCCATTACATTTTGTGGTCATTTGTTACGAGCAACAGATGACAGCGGCACTATTAATATATTTTTGTGGACTCTGTTTCTTTGTGTTATTTTCACTTTTAAAAAACATATACGGTTCCTCTTGCCTGTCTTATTTTCCCTCCAAGATACATTTTAATTATTATCTATTGACCAATTAAGCAGTGAAGACATGACAGAGGAATTCATTCCGAGTAATTAATCATAGTAATAACCCTGTCTTCTGTAGGCATTGAGAGAAAATGAAATTACATTTTACATGAAGTGTGTCATTTTGGTATTTTTCATGTTGCTCCTTGTTCACAGAAATCGATGACTTTTGATGTGTTCTATATTTTCTTTAAGAGTGTGGCTAATGAACATTCTTCCTAGTTTAGCATGAACAATTTATGGTTTCATGTGTCTTATTTAAACAATGTGAGCTAAAAGTGGTAAGTTTTAATTGTATCTTTGATGAAGCTATGTAATATAAAATTCTGTAAGTGACTCATTTGCTTCAAAGTATAGAAAAAGATAGTCTGGTATATGTAATACACATAGTAAGATGAACAATTTTTGTTATTTAAAAATCTTAAAAGCCAGCCCGTTAAGTTATATCCAGTTGTCAGCCTGGATATTTGACTCACTGTGCAGCTAAGTGAGTCCTCTGGGTGAACAAAGCCAGCCATTAAGAAGCCAACCATTCTCCTTTCCTGGATTCTCTGAGTTAATGCCAAGTGGGTCAGAACTTCTCAGTGTAGAAGGTGAAGTGGCAGCAACTCTTTCAACTCTGTTGTAACTTTGCGTGTCATGAAAATGGAGTCACTCCAGCTGACCTGATTCTTGTCTGCATTGGCAGGATTACTCTTAAGGGTCTTGTGATTTTTCTCCCTTATTACGTGTTTTTGTTACATTTGTGATGTGGGGGAAGTGCAGACGTGGGGGACTCAAAAGCTGGCATTGTGTCCTGGAGGAGCTCTGAGCCGATGCCCTCTGTCAGGGTGACTCTCTGGGCCTGTTTGCCCGTCAGTAAAGCAGGGACACTCAGGTGATCTCCACCCGCAAAGGTGGACGACTCTGTGGGGCCGGGGCTAGGGGGAGGGCGTCGCTCTGAAGTGTCCTTAGAGGAGAGTTTGGTCTGGAACACTGTCACATGCCGGGCTAAGTAGCGAGGCATTTGGTTTGCTGTGCATCACTCATGCTTTGAGGAAGGTGATAATAGAATTTATAGTTACTTCCAAATCAATGCTGAACGGATGCATGCCATATGTAGGTGAAAGTCTAGGAGACCAAAAATCAGGCTCATAAGATATTTCATGTGGCTCTCTAGAGATTTGCCCTTTTTTAATAAGATGTAATCTAAGGCATAGAAATTGTAAACATCTAGTTTTCTTATTTGGGTGTATTAAAAATCACAATTTTAACTTTTCCTTTAGCTTATTATTATTATTTTTTAGATTGGGTACTTAATGTTGGTTTCCTTGGGAAACAATAGTAAACCTAGTTTACATAAACTTTTAAGAGACCTTTAATACACTTCTTCTCATAATTCATTTTGATGTATGATGATCTAGGATGATTGTTACAGAAATCTTACTGCTTGTGAATAATAAATAAAAACTGCAGAATTTTATTTTCAAACTTATTCTTTCTTTACAGAACATTAGCCCTGATTAAGCCAGATGCAATATCAAAAGCTGGGGAAATCATTGAAATAATAAACAAAGCTGGATTTACTATAACCAAGCTCAAAATGATGATGCTTTCAAGGTAATTTGTTGACCATTTTCAGTTATCCTTTTTTTTAAAATTATCTTTTATGTTATTGTTTAATATAAAAACTTTCCACTGGCAAAGAGCAGAAGAGTAATCTTATTAGAATGAAACAATGTAAGACAGTAGGTAATTGGATGCATAAATAATGAACTCTAAGCAAGCTGGAGTCGGCAGATCCGCGTGCCGCATTAACTGTGTTGTCTCCCATAACCCGTCTGCTCGATGACACACATGTGTGGTAACTGTAATCTCTTTTTAATATCCAAGTGTAACACACTGTAAAGAAATCATAGGATAGGAAATGAATGTTTATGCCTATATGAGAAGGCAGTGTTACTGTTACTGTTGAGATTTCCAAAAGTGATGGATTTGGAAATGTTTATATTTAGCACCTCCCAGGATGGATGATTGGTAAACCTGTAACAAAACACCTTCAATTTTACCCCAACAATGACTTACGCTAAATTTGAATTTTTCCCCTGTGTGAGATCTCCTGGTTTACATATTTTCTGGAAAGGCAGGAGGCTTATATGCCAGCGCAGAGTCCAGAGCCAGACTGCCCGTAACTGTGCTGCCCCCTAGGCGTGCGGCTCCCCGCACCAATGTGCCTGTTCTTCCTCTGCGAACTGGAGGCCGGAACCGCACCGGGCCCTCAGCGGTTAGGAGGCTTAAAGAGTTTTTATGTGCGAAATACCTTGCAAACCCTGGCGTACAGTGAGTGTGTGTGGATGTTAGTATTAGTAAGTGTTAGTGCTGGCGTGGCGATATATCATCATTTAGTGGAAACCAAGGTCATGGCCCTTCAGAAGTACTTAAATCTGTCCTACGTATGCATTGAGAATGCCTTCTCATAAAGCTGGCAATGGACTGAGTTTGGGGGATATGACTTGCTTGGGATAGCTTTAATGAGACTGAACATTTTTTTTTTTGAGAGGGCATCTCTCATATTTATTGATCAAATTGTTGTTAACAACAATAAAATTCTGTATACGGGGGGGTCAGTGCTCAATGTACAATCATTAATCCATCTCAAGCCTAATTCTCATCAGTCTTCAATCTTCTGAAGCATAACGAACAAGTTCTTACATGGTGAACGAATTCTTACATAGTGAATAAGTTCTTACCTGGTGAACAGTACAAGGGCAGTCATCACAGAAACTTTCGGTTTTGATCACGCATTATGAACTATAAACAATCAGGTCAAATATGAATATTCGTTTGATTTTTATACTTGGTTTATATGTGGATCCACATTTCTCCCTTTATTATCATTATTATTATTATTTTTAATAAAATGCTGAAGTGGTAGGTAGATGCAAGATAAAGGTAGAAAACATAGTTTAGTGTTGTAAGAGGGCAAATGTAGATGATCAGATGATCAGGTGTGTGCCTATGGACTAAGTATTAATCCAGGCTAGACAAGGGCAGCAAGACATCCACGGATGCAGAAGATTTCTCTCAAAGCAGGGGGGGTGAGGTTCTGAGCCTCACCTCTGTTGATCCCCAAATTCTCACCTGATGGCCCCCCTGCGACTGTGCCTGTCTTAGGTTGTTCCTCCCTTGAGGAATCTTACCCGTCTCTGGCTAACCAGTCATCTTCCGGGGCCATACAGGGAAATGTAAAGTTGGTAAGTGAGAGAGAAGCCATATTGTTTGCAAAGGTTAGCTTTTTACTTCTTTGCAGATTTATGCCCTGTGGCTTCTATGCCCAGCACTTGTCTCGAGGTATCTTTACCACCTGGAGGAATTATGATACTCGGTAAATTCGATATGAGGCACGAATTCTATTTAAGGTTTGTAATTAGGAAGGAAGAAGAAAAGCTATAGATGTAGCATATGAAGGAAACTTGGGAGGATTGATTATTTCTTTGACATATCTTCTTGTATAGTACCTTAAGTATGTATAGGTTTTAAACTACTAACTAATTTGCACACACATATTAACATAATAGGAATACGGTGACATAAACAAAGCAAATCTATAATTACCATCCATCTCCAGTGAAGCCAAGAAAACCATTTAGGCACCCTAGGCATTTGTGAAAATTTATCTATGATATGATGGATATTGTCCAACTGTACTTGAACCATCAGACAAATTAAAGCAGCCCATTTCTGGGATCTGTTCACATCCCATATGTTCTTTTAACCATAGATAGTCTATAGTCATGAGATTTTGGAGTGCTACAACTTGCACCCCTCCCAACTCCTGGTTGAGTTCCAACAGTACAGATCCGGTCAAATTCGTTGTCTCACTGTATGCACATGCCAGCCTAGACATCTCCCTCCTCATTCTTATGGCAAGTCCAGGAGACGGTGGGCTGGATGCAGCCACAACCGCAGCATCGTCCGGATCCCTGTGGAGGCTTTTTGATGATCATCCCCCGGCACGAGTCCTCCAGAGAGTGCTGATGCCGGAAGCTCCTCCTCATATCGTATCTTAGTTCATTTTCTGGGTATCCAAGCTAGGCCTTGATCTTCTGCGTAGAAACAAACAGACCCTTTGCCCACACTTTGACATGCCCTCTATACCACTGTGCAGAACTCATTGGAGGTCAGCACACAGTAACTGCTTTTTTTTTTTTTTTTTATTAAGAGAAAGGAATATTATCAGAAAAGAGTACCTCCATAGCTGATCATCTGACACCCTTTAAGTGATCAACATTAAGGATATTTAAAGCATGCGTTGATCTTTGATTTACCAATAGTTTTATCCTGTTAAGGAGTAATCCCCCTTTTCTTTCTTTCTTTCTTTTTTTTTTTTAATTTTTAATCTACACTTACCTGAAGAATACTATGTTTACTATGCTCTCCCCTATATCAGGTCCCCCCTAACAACCACATTACGGTTACTGTCCATCAGCTTAGCAAAATGTGGTAGAGTCACTACTTGTCCTCTCTGTGTTGTGCAGCCCACCCTCCCCTTTCTCCCTCCCCCCCATGCATGCTAATCTTAATACCCCCCTTCTTCTTCCCCCCCCTTATCCCTCCCTGCCCACCCATCCTCCCCAGTTCCTTTCCCTTTGGTACCTGTTAGTCCATTTTTGGGTTCTGTAATTCTGCTGCTGTTTTGTTCCTTCAGTTTTTCCTTTGTTCCTATACTCCTCAGATGAGTGAAATCATTTGGTATTTCTCTTTCTCCGCTTGGCTTATTTCACTGAGCATAATACTCTCCAGCTCCATCCATGTTGCTGCAAATGGTTGGATTTTTCCACTTCTTATGGCTGAGTAGTATTCCATTGTGTATATGTACCACATCTTCTTTATCCATTCATCTACAGATGGACATTTAGGTTGCTTCCAATTCTTGGCTATTGTAAATAGTGCTGCGATAAACATAGGAGTGCATCTGTCTTTCTCAAACTTGATTGCTGCGTTCTTAGGGTAAATTCCTAGGAGTGGAATTCCTGGGTCAAATGGTAGGTCTGTTTTGAGCATTTTGATGCACCTCCATACTGCTTTCCACAATGGTTGAACTAATTTACATTCCCACCAGCAGTGTAGGAGGGTTCCCCTTTCTCCACAGCCTCGCCAACATTTGTTGTTGTTTGTCTTTTGGATGGCAGCTATCCTTACTGGTGTGAGGTGATACCTCATTGTAGTTTTAATTTGCATTTCTCTGATAATTAGCGATGTGGAGCATCTTTTCATGTGTCTCTTGGCCATCTGTATTTCTTTTTTGGAGAACTGTCTGTTCAGTTCCTCTGCCCATTTTTTAATTGGGTTATTTGTTTTTTGTTTGTTGAGGCGTGTGAGCTCTTTATATATTCTGGACGTCAAGCCTTTATCAGATCTGTCATTTTCAAATATATTCTCCCATACTGTAGGGTTCCTTTTTGTTCTATTGATGGTGTCTTTCGCTGTACAGAAGCTTTTCAGCTTAATGTAGTCCCACTTGCTCATTTTTGCTGTTGTTTTCCTTGCCCGGGGAGATATGTTCAAGAAGAGATCACTCATGTTTATGTCTAAGAGGTTTTTGCCTATGTTTTTTTCCAAGAGTTTAATGGTTTCGTGACTTACATTCAGGTCTTTGATCCATTTTGAGTTTACCTTTGTATATGGGGTTAGACAATGGTCCAGTTTCATTCTCCTACATGTAGCTGTCCAGTTTTGCCAGCACCATCTGTTGAAGAGACTGTCATTTTGCCATTGTATGTCCATGGCTCCTTTATCAAATATTAATTGACCATATATGTTTGGGTTAATTTCTGGGGTCTCTAATCTGTTCCACTGGTCTGTGGCTCTGTTCTTGTGCCAGTACCAAATTGTCTTGATTACTATGGCTTTGTAGTAGAGCTTGAAGTTGGGGAGTGAGATCCCCCCTACTTTATTCTTCTTTTTCAGGATTGCTTTGGCTATTCGGGGTCTTTGGTGTTTCCATATGAATTTTTGAATTATTTGTTCCAATTCATTGAAGAATGTTGCTGGTAATTTGAGAGGGATTGCATCAAATCTGTATATTGCTTTCGGCAGGATGGCCATTTTGACGATATTAATTCTTCCTAGCCATGAGCATGGGATGAGTTTCCATTTATTAGTGTCCCCTTTAATTTCTCTTAAGAGTGACTTGTAGTTTTCAGAGTATAAGTCTTTCACTTCCTTGGTTAGGTTTATTCCTAGGTATTTTATTCTTTTTGATGCAATGGTGAATGGAATTGTTTTCCTGATTTCTCTTTCTATTGATTCGTTGTTAGTGTATAGGAAAGCTACAGATTTCTGTGTGTTGATTTTGTATCCTGCAACTTTGCTGTATTCCGATATCAGTTCTAGTAGTTTTGGAGTGGAGTCTTTAGGGTTTTTTATGTACAGTATCATATCATCTGCAAATAGTGACAGTTTAACTTCTTCTTTACCAATCTGGATTCCTTGTATTTCTTTGTTTTGTCTGATTGCCGTGGCTAGGACCTCCAGTACTATGTTAAATAACAGTGGGGAGAGTGGGCATCCCTGTCTGGTTCCCGATCTCAGTGGAAATGCTTTCAGCTTCTCGCTGTTCAGTATAATGCTGGCTGTGGGTTTATCATATATGGCCTTTATTATGTTGAGGTACTTGCCCTCTATTCCCATTTTGCTGAGAGTTTTTATCATGAATGGATGTTGAATTTTGTCAAATGCTTTTTCAGCATCTATGGAGATGATCATGTGGTTTTTGTCTTTCTTTTTGTTGATGTGGTGGATGATGTTGATGGATTTTCGAATGTTGTACCATCCTTGCATCCCTGGGATGAACCCCACTTGGTCATGGTGTATGATCCTTTTGATATACTGTTGAATTCTGTTTGCTAATATTTTATTGAGTATTTTTGCATCTACATTCATCAGGGATATTGGTCTGTAATTTTCTTTTTTGGTGGGGTCTTTGCCTGGTTTTGGTATTAGGGTGATGTTGGCCTCATAGAATGAGTTTGGGAGTATTCCCTCCTCTTCTATTTTGTGGAACACTTTAAGGAGAATGGGTATTATGTCTTCTCTGTGTGTCTGATAAAATTCCGAGGTAAATCCGTCCGGCCCCGGGGTTTTGTTCTTGGGTAGTTTTTTGATTACCGTTTCAATTTCTTTGCTTGTAATTGGTTTGTTTAACTTTTGTGTTTCTTCCTTGGTCAGTCTTGGGAGGTTGTATTTTTCTAGGAAGTTGTCCATTTTTTCTAGGTTTTCCAGCTTGTTGGCATATAGGTTTTCATAGTGAGACTGAACATTTTTATGTCTACTTCCCATGCTTGATAATTTGGCATCAAAAGAGAAAGATAAGAACCATGCCCAAGAAAGTTAACTTCTTTAAGTGTTCATAGTGCCTTATAATCTCTGATAATATTACGGCTGAGTCCTGGATTTTGCCCAGCTTCAAAGCTAGCAGTTAGTCTGCTACTCTCTCATGGATGGTGGCAGAAGACGTGAGACTTCTGGGTCAGAAACCAGGACTTCATCCTGCTACAGTGTGGCAGTGGCATCTGTGCTTGCCTCCATGTCCTGTGGGAATTACATGGTAAGGTTCCAGGGGGCTGTTGTACGCACAGCTAAGGAGTATTGAACTTGGGTTTCCCAAAGAGCAAGCATTCTCAGTACATAAGTAGGACAGATTTAGGTACAGTACTTATGAAGGACCATGACCTTGGTTTCATTAGCAAGTGGTGAGCAAGCCTGCTGTTTGTACTGAAGAGAGACATGACCTCACCCCGTAGGGCTGCTCAACTGCTCACTGTAAACATAACTCTGAGGGATGGCTAGCTCAAAATGCAGATGGGGCCCTGCATTCCTGGCATCACTAGCGAGGCGTGTTAGGACCACCAGAGACCCGGGCGGACTGTCTCCCAATGCTCAAACCTTTTCTGGACTTGTGTGCGCCCATGTTGGTTCCTTCATTCATAGCAGTACCAAAAGGTAGCAGCCAAGTCCCATCAGACTTGGGCTTCTAGTTCTCAGAACCTTGCCCCACTCACAGTAGGCGCTAAGTAAATATTTCATGAAAGAAGAAATGGCTAGACCTTTGTGAGAGGGTGGTGAGTTTCTTTAGAAAAACACAAGACGTAACAAAAGAAAACAAAGCAAAACATCTTCTCACGGTGACGATGTACTTGATGTTTCTGCCTAGACTTCATAAGGGAGGAACCTGACGGGGCCAGCGGGAAACCTCACGGACCCTCACCGTGGTCCCAGGTTTACGTCTCAGGTGGGGATGGTGGGTCGGTGATGTGTTAGAAAACAGCTTGAACACTTTCAGTGATTAAGATTTTTCTTTCCATTGTCATTAAAGATTGTTTTTTTCTTTTTTTTAGTAGTTCATTTGTGTTGAAAGTTTAGAATGGTCATTTTAGTCATCTTGCTGTCCAGTCTTCTAAAATATTCCCCACCTGAGTTTTGCAGACAATCAGTTCTACCTCATTTTAGGCTGCAGCACAATATATCCATTTTGTGTTTGTGAATACTTCCCGCTTCCTTCTAGAATTTGGGGTTTCTGTAGTAATAGAAAGGGCATAAGCACTCAGATATTTGCCACCAGGAAACTTTTAGTTTAAGTCCCCCTTTTCTCCCTCACTAGCACTTTGAACCAGACAAGTTATGTACTGCTGAACATCATTATTTTCATATGTACGATGAAGGTTATCGTATCTATATATTGTTGTGGGGAATAAATAATGTTGACATGTAATAGGCTCTAGACAGATGTCTTTTCTTCCCCTCCCATTTCTAGGGATGAGTTTTATTTTCTATGCTCATATAATATACTTTTCATAATCTCTTCACAAAGAATATGTCAGTACATCTGGCTTAAATAAGCATATTCCTTGATACAGCTAATTATGTGAGTTCATTTTGTAATAAGCCTATAAGATCTTAAAGCATTTTACCCTAAATTATTAAGCATGAAATGTTAAGCTAGAAGATACTAACTTCTTTTAATTTTAAAAAGTAGTTGCTGTTGACATGTATGTGTCACAAATTGTGAACTCAGCTTAAAGACTTTAAGAGAACTCTGAGTTTAAGAGAGGCTCTGATTTGATTTTTATAAAAAGTTTAGGTTCATTAGCTAATCAATTTAAAGTTCATTATCTTTTCCATTGTTTCTCTAGATATTTAGTAGGAATATAAATTTAGAAAGCAAGTCCCTCTTGCCCTTAATAAATTCTAAATTCTGAACGTCTCCATGTTATCCACCTTTGGTGGTGTCACTTAAAGCATTAATTTTTGATACATTAATAACCGATAAGAACACATTGGTATGCCTAATCTGTCAAGCACTTTTTAAAACATAGGTATATAGTGTTTCCTTCTTACCAAAAGGTAGCAGCCAAGTCCCATCAGACTTGGGCTTCTAGTTCTCAGAACCTTGCCCCACTCACAGTAGGCGCTAAGTAAATATTTCATGAAAGAAGAAATGGCTAGACCTTTGTGAGAGGGTGGTGAGTTTCTTTAGAAAAACACAAGACGTAACAAAAGAAAACAAAGCAAAACATCTTCTCACGGTGACGATGTACTTGATGTTTCTGCCTAGACTTCATAAGGGAGGAACCTGACGGGGCCAGCGGGAAACCTCACGGACCCTCACCGTGGTCCCAGGTTTACGTCTCAGGTGGGGATGGTGGGTCGGTGATGTGTTAGAAAACAGCTTGAACACTTTCAGTGATTAAGATTTTTCTTTCCATTGTCATTAAAGATTGTTTTTTTCTTTTTTTTAGTAGTTCATTTGTGTTGAAAGTTTAGAATGGTCATTTTAGTCATCTTGCTGTCCAGTCTTCTAAAATATTCCCCACCTGAGTTTTGCAGACAATCAGTTCTACCTCATTTTAGGCTGCAGCACAATATATCCATTTTGTGTTTGTGAATACTTCCCGCTTCCTTCTAGAATTTGGGGTTTCTGTAGTAATAGAAAGGGCATAAGCACTCAGATATTTGCCACCAGGAAACTTTTAGTTTAAGTCCCCCTTTTCTCCCTCACTAGCACTTTGAACCAGACAAGTTATGTACTGCTGAACATCATTATTTTCATATGTACGATGAAGGTTATCGTATCTATATATTGTTGTGGGGAATAAATAATGTTGACATGTAATAGGCTCTAGACAGATGTCTTTTCTTCCCCTCCCATTTCTAGGGATGAGTTTTATTTTCTATGCTCATATAATATACTTTTCATAATCTCTTCACAAAGAATATGTCAGTACATCTGGCTTAAATAAGCATATTCCTTGATACAGCTAATTATGTGAGTTCATTTTGTAATAAGCCTATAAGATCTTAAAGCATTTTACCCTAAATTATTAAGCATGAAATGTTAAGCTAGAAGATACTAACTTCTTTTAATTTTAAAAAGTAGTTGCTGTTGACATGTATGTGTCACAAATTGTGAACTCAGCTTAAAGACTTTAAGAGAACTCTGAGTTTAAGAGAGGCTCTGATTTGATTTTTATAAAAAGTTTAGGTTCATTAGCTAATCAATTTAAAGTTCATTATCTTTTCCATTGTTTCTCTAGATATTTAGTAGGAATATAAATTTAGAAAGCAAGTCCCTCTTGCCCTTAATAAATTCTAAATTCTGAACGTCTCCATGTTATCCACCTTTGGTGGTGTCACTTAAAGCATTAATTTTTGATACATTAATAACCGATAAGAACACATTGGTATGCCTAATCTGTCAAGCACTTTTTAAAACATAGGTATATAGTGTTTCCTTCAGAGGAATCTATCTAAAAAACAAAACTGTAACAATTGGGTAGTGTTTTAGCTTAACCTCTCAAGTTTAAAACCTGTAGCAGAAAGTGATGTATTTCTAATTAGAAGATGGTTTGCATTTTTGAACCCTAAAGGGAAAATCATTCTTATTTGTCAAATTTTAAGCTTTCTTCTTAGAATGTTAAAGATGCTGGTGAAAAAGGAAGATAATAGGTATAAACATGAGCAAATATTGCCTCTTACATTCTTTGTAGTGTTACATCTCAGCATATGTCCATTCTAGCAAAAATTTGAAAGGAGAGGGGATTTGAGCAAAATATTTGGTGAAAATCATTATATTACTTAATTTGCATACAGATCAAATAAAAAAAGATTTCATCTTTATTAATACAGGCTAAAATAATACTCTCACATAATTCTTAACTACTGTCATTTTGATTATTTACAGGAAAGAAGCAACAGATTTTCACGTAGACCATCAGTCGAAGCCCTTTTTAAAGTAGGTGTTGACTTTGGGGCTAGTGGCGTGTAATGGCGGGTGTCCTGGAGAACCAGAGTTATAATTGTATAATTAAGACCTGTTACATGAGAATAATCTTCAAAGGATCATAGCAACATCTGTGACTATTGAGAATTTTTTTCTAATTATCATTTTTTCCTGTCCTTGTTTTAGATGATTCTTATCTTATTAAATATCTTAAACTTTCATTAGAAGCAAATGGGGTGATTTACTTACATGATAAGGGACGTAGCTTTCTTTTTAGGTTTCAGTAGATAAAAATAATGCAATAATTATATTTTCTGTTGAATATTTTGTGTTTTTAAACTTTGGCATTCTCATGGACATAAATTAATCAGTGAAACCTTGCATTTCTAGTGTGATATACATTTTGTTCTTTGAGATGCAACAATTAATATGTTAGAAACTGAATCTGTGTTACTGTTGACAAAGAAATGCTTCTATTTCTAATAAAGGCTATCAGCCAAGCTGCTACAGTAGACACGCCATTGGTATCCTGCACAGAATAGTGTTTTTTAAAGCTTTACATGAGAAGTTACTGTTACAGATTATTTTAAATCAAGCATGATAGAATATTCCCAAGTCTTGTTAGAATAGGCATAGGTCATTTTCTGGGATATCATTCTTTGTATATCTTGGTAGCGTCACATCACAGCCCCTGCTTTAATGTCCTGTAGTAACTAGCATGTGGTAAATTTTATGAACTGTACTCATTGGCTAGTTGTCTGGTACTGAGGACGACACAACAGAAGACGCAGAGGCTGTGTTTGTCGGCAGCCTGGGCAGCGGCGCTGTCACGGTCGGCGCCCCTGCCCGCGCCGTCCCGCACTGCGCCCCACCATAGGCTTATCTTACTGTGCTTGCAGGCTCTACGTTACAGGACAGTCTCAATTTCTGGAGGGAAGGATCTTGTTTTATAGCATGTTCTGATTTGTATAGGTAATCATTAAATGCTTATAAATGGATAAACATGGGTTTATTCCCTTGTTTTGAGTTCCTTAAATTGAATGTATTTTGCGGGGGGGCAATGGGGGCAGTTAAGGCCTAGCAGAATAAGAATGTATGAGGAGACCATGTGGGCCTTTTAGGATGGAGGATATGAATACTTCTCTGTAATTGCTGTTTTTTAGAAAAATTCTTCAGAATGAATGGAAGTGATTTACAAAGGAAGCAGTGAAGGGTGGTGGCTCAGAAAACGAGGTCCATGAGGGAGGGAAGTGTGCAAAGCAGTCGAGACCTGCTGGGCATCAAGTGCTTGTCTCACATGGGAGCCTGTCCCATTAGTTCAGATGACAGGGAAGCATGGTTCATCTTAAAACATACTTTGTCCCTGCCTGACACAGAAGGAGTGGAGTCGGTCACTGCACAGACCCGTCATTGCTACTTGTATGCATGTGGAAGTGGGAAAATGAAACGGGGTCTCTTGTTTTTCATCTCTTGGGGTTCTTGACTCGGTGCTGCTGGGCTTTTAATAACGAGCCTGTAGGAACACCTCTGTGACCTAGGGTCAGGGTGACCCAGAGAAGCTTTTACACCAGATGAAGGCTTTTTTCTGGAAGACCTGTTACTTTTTCTTTATCACTAGACCAACTCAGTGTTCATTGATTGAAAGTGCATTGTCATTCTCTGGATTCTAACAGCCCTACACAGAAGAACCAAATGAATTCTTACTGAAAATGAGTCACAAGATATTCCTCTCTTCACTTTGTGCATTGACATCTTATTTGGCTGCAGTGGTGAACTGAGAACAAAAAGGAAGATCCTTTTGTATCTTTCAGTGATGGAAGTGGAAAAGCGTAGATCAACAACATGCCTTTAAGTCAATTAAATCGTCTCAACTCAATGAAACAGTGGGTTTCCTGCTCACGGGAATTGATTTGACAACACTGGTAGTTGATAGGACTCAGGTCCCTGCAAGATGTTTGATTCACGAAAATTTTATCTTGCCTGTATAAAATTGACTACATCCGATAGTTCTGAGATCATGACATTAATGTGTGTGTTGAAATACTCCAATTCTAACATATCCTTGTTGTTAAGAGAGATACCTAGGGTGACAGAGGAATGAAACACTCTTGTACCCGTTTCCCAGTGAGCTGATACAGTGTATCACGACCGGTCCTGTTATTGCCATGGAGATCTTAAGAGATGATGCTGTATGTGAATGGAAAAGACTGCTTGGACCTGCGAACTCCGGGGCGGCGCAGACAGATGCTCCTGGGAGCGTGAGAGCTCTCTTTGGGACGGACGGCATCCGAAACGCAGCGCACGGCCCTGATTCTGTCGCTAGTGCTGCCCGAGTAAGGCGTTTTAAATGTATTGAAATTCTGCTTGGGTTTTGTTACAAGTGTTTTATGTCAAAGCATTTCTGTAACTTCTGACTTAGGGTGGATTTATATGGCTGACCTAGCAGTAGAGAAAACGTTTGGCATATTTCAGCGATCTGGGTTCTTCATGAACTAGTAACCTGGCCGTGGCCAGTGTGTTTTCTCCAGTTAAAAACACTTGTCCCATTTCTTGTTCCAAAGACTTAAATTATTGAAGCTCATAAATATTTGAGTTACTGAATTCATTTTAAGACTAGTTTACAGATAGTAAATATTCAAAAGAAGGTATCATTTGATATGTTCTTTCTTGGATTCAGCCTAACACTATTTTTAAGCATAACATCATTTTCTTTCCTACATACAGCCAATGTTGATGAAAAAGTTTCCATGTTCCTTAGAATTACTCCTTACTTTAAATCCGTATAAAAAAAGGTGTAACACAGGATTTATGCAGATGTTGATTTAGTGAAATGCAAGTTTATTCTCAGCACCGTGAAAAATTTCTCAGCTAGCGAAAGGTGATTTTTAGTCTGGTCATGTTTGCAATAGAGTAATATTAAACAGTTTTATCTTTGTTTTTTTTCTTTTTCTTACAACTCTGGCAACAAATCTTTTCAGTTCCCCCTTCAGATGAGGCCTTGAGTCTGACCATCACGGTCTCGCTGCTGCAGGACTGTGGCAGGAACCTCCTAATCTTGCTTTCCTCTTCTCTTACACCCAATTCTGAAAATCTTAACTTGCTCCCCCCTAAAATTAACTATGCCCAGGGTGATGTTTTAAAAACAAATCAGATTAACAATTCAAGTACTGAAAACTCTTCAGTGAGCTTTTGTCTGCTAGAAAAAGATCTAAAGTCTGTGATGCAGGCTGCAAAGCCACACCTGACCCGGCCCCTATCATTCTGTCTTACTTCATCGCTGCCCCGTCTCTCCCTTACTGCGTCCGAGGTGCCCTGGCCCTCTTGCTGTTCCTTAGTGGCGTATGTCTGCCTGAATCATTCAGTTTGCAGGAAAGACGGCCGAGTAGTTGGCTGGCAGCGAGGGAAGGAGGGGCCGAGGAGCTCACAGAAGCAGGAGGGGACATTGCGACGTGGTCTCAGCGCACCTTCTGTGGGACTGTTGGCCTCTTCTCTGAGGAAGGTCGAGAGCCGCTCCCGGCTCTTGAGTGGAGGGCCGCCCGCTGACTCGCCGCTCAGAAGGACCACGCTGGCCGCGCTGGGAACGGACTAGAGGCAAGAGGGCGCTGCTGCGGCGGCCCAGGGAGATGGCGGCTTGGGCCAGGGTGCCCGCCATGAGAGGAGCACAGGATGTGTTTTAAAGCACATCTTAATTGTTCAAGGTCAAAGAAACAAGATTTCCTTCCAGAGTGAATTTAGGATGTGAGAAAAAGAGGTGTCAAAGATTACTCCAAAGTTCTTGGCTTGAACAGCTAAAAGGATAGTATTTACATAATTTGACATGAGGAAATCTATGGCTGGTGTCAGTATGGATGGCAGATCAGGAGTTCTGCTTTGGACATTGCAGACTTAACAAGTGAGTCATCCACGTCTGGACCAACAGCATGACTGTGTGCTCAGCAACACACAGCACGTATGTAAAGCCATGAGGCGGGCTGAGACTGGCAAGGAGAGAGCATAGGTAGAGAAGGAAAGGGAGTCAAGAGGGAGCCTCTTCTGTGTCTATGATTCCATTTCTGTCTGTTCATTTGTTTAGTTTTTACATGCCACCTATCAAGTGAAATCATAGGCTATTTGTCTTTTTCTGTCTGATTTGTTTCACTCAGCGTAGTATCAGCTAGGTCCACCCATGTTGCTTTGAATGGCATTCATTTTGATGGCTGAGGAATGTTGCACAGTGCATGTTAGCTTTCTGTTTAGCATGTGAATGTGTTATGACCCTCCCTTCAGGCCTGCACATTGTCTGCTAAAAAAAGTCAGCTCATAGTCTGTGGGTGCCCTTGTATGTGTCTAGCTGCTCTGCTCTTGCTGCTTTTCAGATTTTCTCTATATTTTAATATTTGCCATTTTAATTATGTGTGTCTTGGTGTGGACCTCCTTGGGCTCATCTTGTTTGGGGTTCTCTGTGCTTCTTGCGTGTCTGTTTTCTTCCCGGATGAGGGAGCTCTTATTTCTCTAAATAAGATTTTTGCCTCTTTCTCTCTTCTTCTGGGACTCATGTATGCAAACATTTGAAGGCTTAATGTTATCTTTGAGGTTCCTTAACCTATTCTCTTTTTTAAAATTTTTTCTTCTTGCTGTTCACCTTGGGTGCTTTTTATCATGCCGTCTTCCAGATTGTCAATCCACCTTCTGAGTCCTCTAATCTGTGGTTGGTTCCCTCTAGTGTACTTTTCATTTTAGTAATTGTATTCTTCAGCTCTGATTGGTTCTTCCATTTTTCTATCTCTTTGCTGACATTCTCACTGAGTTTATCTACTCTTCTCTCAAGTCTGGTCAGCTCCTTTACACCATTGTTTTGAACCCTTTACCAGGTAGACTGCTCATCCATTTTGTTCTTTTCCTGAAGTTTTGTTTTGTTCTTTCACTTGTAGCATATTCCTGTTTCATTTCACTTGACTTTCTGTGTTTGCTTATACAAATTAGGTGACACAGCTGCTTCTCCCAGTCTCGGAGTGGCCTGTGTGGCAATGTCTGTGTTGGACTGTGTGCCTGGTGGCTCTGGCTGGGTGGCTGGAGCCCACGTGGGGTGGGCGGGGCTGGTGAATGGTTCCCATCATGCACAGTCTAGTTGCCCTGTAAACCCACTTTTTTTCTGCTGTGCCCCATGTCGGGTGAGTGCTCATGCGCCCCTCAGTGATGTCTCCCTGCTGTGGTTCCTGGTGCCACGGGCGGGGTCCCCCCACCGCTGTGTCTCTGCCTCTCCTGCAGTTCTCTCTGTAGCCCCTCTGCCCTTGGGGTGCAGAAGCTGGTCCGCCAGCCCTCTGCGCTCCTTTGGGAAGAGCCGCTCTGCATGCAGGTGTAGAGTCAGTGTTTCCGTGTGAGGAGGAGATTCCAGGGTCCTCCTGCTCCGCATCGCGGGCCCTGTGGAGATGTTCCTGTCCTTGAGTCTTGCCTTGGGAAGAGTGAGTGTTGTGGATGTCGTGTCAGTTGGCCCGCTGACAAGGGTAAATACTGCGACGGGGGTACCGGCACACACAGGAAAGCGGGGGCCAGATGCGCTGACGAAAACAGAAAACTGTCACACAAGCAACCCCAAAAACCTTCTTAGACCTTGAGCTCCTACTGATGAATGTTTAGTCTTTCTCTCCATCCTGTCCAGATGTCACCAGACTTATGCTGTGCTCACTGCGTCTTCTTCGGGGGCCTTGACTGATCCTTGAGAGCAGTCGCTGCAGTTTGGCCTCGTGCGTGGCCTCCACCGAACTCATTTGCCCTCATTTGACTGAGGTGTCATCGTGCCCTTATCACAGAACGCAGGAAGGCTTTTCATTCCTCATCTCTCTGCATCTTTCTGCAGCCCAGGGCCGGTTTGAGCGCCCCTCCCCTTGTCGCGCTCTGCCCACCTTCAGTCGGCCCCTCCTCGTCACAGCTCCCTGGCCTTTCCTACCTGCAGCCGGCAGCTCACGAGCTGCGTCTGGTTAGTCGGCTTTCGTTCTTCGCCTGTCCTCTGAGTCTTAGTGTCGTGCTGGTTTCATTCTCTCGTTTGTGACTTGGTGGTGTATTTCTCAGTTTCCTAGTCATTCAATGAGGTAATAGTTGTACTTACATCATAGTGTTCTTCTGAGAATTAAAAATAATGTTTTCAGTGCTTAGTGTAGTACCCAGAACACAGTTTTTAACAGATGTTGTCTGTTATTGTTATTCCACTTTCATGGTGCTTCCCTAATCTGTAAATTGTACTGCATATAATATCAATATATGAACATTAATAGTATTCTTCCAGGTAGAAAATGTAATTTTTGAAGAGAACACCATTCACATGGTAAGTAGGTTTATCCTGGCTGGCTGTCATATGCTTAATAAAAGATGTGGGAGACGTTTATTGAGAAAACTGCAAATTTTACTGTAGGCAATAAAAAATACTTTAAAAATGAATATACCATGTTCATGGGTGGGAAGATTGAGAATTATAAAGATATCAGTTCTTTCCAAATTGATCTATAAGTTCAGTGTAGTTCCAGTCAAATTCCTAGCAGGGTTTTTATGAAGCTCAAAGACTTCTCGTGCAGAAGAGCCAGGGCGGCCCAGCCAGTGCTGCAGAGGAAGAAGATGCGGCGGTGATAGGCGGGACCTCACTGGGGCAGCAGCAGGACCTTTCACGAACCTTCGTGTGCAGAGCAGTGTGACGTTGGCAAGGGGCAAGACAGGCACAGCGGGACGGCGGTTGGTGCACCCCAGACGTGACCCACGTGGCGCCGTGAATCACTGGGCAGGGAACAGATCGATTAGTCACTGAGCTGTGCTGCATGACTGTCTATGGACAAAATCGGTCATCTTAATTCTGTGTCTAAGATTCTTCTTGGAATTTGGGGCTCATACTCCAGCGGCGTGTCCCACACTGAGCAGGTAACAGCTCAGCTCTCCTTTTTCTGTTCTGTGTCCCGTTCCGGATGCCTCCCTTATCCTCCACATCTAATCAGTAAGAGGTTTTGCAAATTTTACCTTCTTCACATTTTCTTCCCTCCTTTCTCTTCGCTCCTACGGTCACAGCTCCGGCTTTACTCTGGGGCTCCTGCTTTTCTCCCACAAGGGCATCTTCCACAGAGGTTTCAGAGACAGCTGTGTAAAAGTTCTAATCTGCCCATGTCATGACTCCTAAGCACATCCCAAAGTACTCCACCACCCGCGGAATCAAGTCCAGGGTCAGGGTCCTTAACGTGTCTCCCGAAGTGAGGTCCTCTGGCCTCGTCTGCAGCCCGCCCCTGCCCCCTGCCCTGCCCTCTGCTGTCTTCACTCACTCTGCCCCTCTGCGTTCCCTGCTGTCTCTCCCTTTGCCTTGGTAATTTGTATGTCCTTTAAAACTCTGCTCGGAGTTCCTTACGTGTTACGGATACAGATTCTTTATCCAGATATATAATTTGCAATATTTCCATTCTCTTTAGCAGTGTCTTGAGTTGAACAGAAGTTTTTAATTTTGATAAAGTCCAACTTATGTATTTGTTCTTTCACGTCTTGTGCTTTTGCTGACACATGTCAGAACTCATCACCTCACCCGGGTCACGAGGGTTTTCCCGTTCGTTTTTGTCTAGAAGTTTTCCTCAGTGACTTTGTGTTGGTTGTGTGAAGTCTCTAAATTAGGTGCTGTTAAAAGTGCTATTGCAGTAAAGTGTTCTCCTGGATGAATAGGTGGGACGGACACAGTAGCCTGCACCGGGAGAAAGGGAAAGCAAAGGCATAAGACAGAAGTAAAGCCTGTCCCTGCCTTAAATACATACCTACCCCGCACATGTAAGCGAGTACTTGGAAAGCTGGTATTTCCGTTTTTAAAAAATGAGCAAGAAAAGAAACTGGAGGAGAGTTGAGACAAAAATAATTGGCCAAATAATTGATTAAACAGTTTAGCGTTGCTTTTTGCCTTTGGAGGGCAGATGACAGGAAACCCAGGGCTCTGGAGCCGCTCTGGCCTGGGTTGAGTCCCGGCTTTGACACTTGCTGACTCAAGGCCCCAAAGGCCTGTTACTCCCGCTTTCTGAGGGTCATTTTTTCATTGTATAATGTACATAGGTATATTTTATTTAACACTTGCAGAATTGATAAGTTTCTGAATTTCAGTCAATCCCAAATATTTACTGAGCAGCTGCTAGTGAACAAAGCAAAGGGCCGGCTCATATGGAGCTTGTGTGCTTCCGGTTGGGGTGTTAGATGACAAGCAGATCGACAGATAGCCTACAGGTGGCCAGTACCTGGCAGGAGTGAAGTGGGGCAGGGGACAGAAAGAGACCAGGGTGGAGGGAGGGCTGTGTGCTGCATGGAGGAGCAGAGTGCTGTAGATACGGGGCATTCAGGAGGGCCTGCTCATCTCTGGTGTGAGCAGAAATCAGGGGAAGGTGTTTCAAGAAGAAAGGGAACAATTTGTGCCAAGACTGCGAGGTGGGAGCAGACCTGCTGAGCTCGAGGGACAGCGAGTCGGTGAGGTTCGTGGTGCCAGGGCAGCAGTGGAAGTTTTCCTTGGCAATGGGAGATTACATCAAGGTGTAGACACGGCCAGACCACGTAAGGCCTTGTGGCCATCCAGGAGGGCTCTGCCTGGGAGTGTCATGCCGCGTTTTCACAAGTCTCACTCTGCTAAGGATAGAGCAGGCGGTGCAGGTGTGTGTGGGAAGCCAGACGGAGCCCAGAGAGGAGGCCAGTGCAGGCGTCAGAGGGAGAGTCGGTGGGCATGGACTGGAGGGGCACACTTGGAGATGGCCGGACTCCCGAGGTACTTTAAGGGTGGGCGGACAAGAAGAGGAGAGGAATCAAGGATCACTCCAAGTGGGGCTTTTTTTTTGGCCTGTGCAATTGGAAGGATGTGGAGAGTAGGGTGGGAAGGAAGAGGTTTATGGGAGATGGTGGAATTCAGTTCTGCTGTGGACACTAAATACGGAATGTCTGTAAGTGGCAGTCCTTAAGTGGGCGTGGAGTTTGTGGAGAAGGTTGGATGGAGGCACAGATATGGGGGCCATCAGGATGCAGATGGCATTTAAGGCCATGGGACTCTAGGGGCTCACCACGCCAGTGACTGTAGATAGGTGGACCGTGCCTTGAGCTCTTCAACACTAGGGTCAGCCTGGTGGGAGAGAACCATCCAGGGAGGCGAGGTGAGAGCCCGGTGGTGCAGATCTCCCAGGTGTGGGGAGCACCGGGCGTGCCAAATGTTTGCTCAAGAAAGGTCCATCTGAGGATCAGCCATGGGGCTTGGCAGCGTTCAGGTGGTTCGGCATCTCAGTGCGCAGCTGTCATGGAGTGAGGCCTGGACTGGCGGTGGGTTTGGGAGAGTGGAGGAGAGGGCTGTCTGGCCAGTGGGGTCCAGCCCCGGGCAAGTTCACTGTGGTTTCAGGGTGACCAAAAAAATGACACTAGAACCTTCTTGGGGTGAAAGGGTTATACCCAACTTTACTTCCAGGTGGCAGGTCAGTCACTAGAATCCCTTCCACTCAGAGCAAATCTGCATGCAGTAAGCTGGTCTCTGCCTCTGGGCCCCTCTGCCCGCACAGCCATCCTCTGGGTCTCTCTGTCCGCACAGCCATCCCAGTCTCTGTCCTCAGCACTGCCACCACTGCAGCCTCTGCTCTGCTCTCCTGCAGCCTTGCAGCCATGCCACCCTGTTGCCCAGAGCACTGGGCAGGGGTCTTTATATAGAGTAAATAATAATGTACTGCCCACATGTGTGTAGTGAGCTAGCCAACCAGGACCAGGTGAGAATCCTGGCCACAGGAACCTTCATTTTATCCACAAATACTAATCTCTGCTTCTACAAAGGTTTCCTAGTTTTTAATTTAATTTTGCATATTTTAATAAAAATTTAAATTGGGCCTGTGTGTCATGAACTAATTAATGCTTGAGAGAGATAAGAACTTTATATTGATTACTTCTAATATTCAAAATATGTTAATATTTTATCAGTTTTAATTCTGAACCAGAATGAAACATATCCCCCTTGCTTTAATTCTTATTTTCTTTTGATTATTAGACTTAAAACATAGGGTTCACTTAGTCTTTGTAAAAATCATTTTTTTTAATTTGAAGCAAAGAATTTGTATTTTGAAGCCTTATAAAGTACTAGCATAGTTCTTCCCCCTCACGTAGATATCTTAGGAGTTCAAGATGAGAGGTTATGTAGGTCAAAGTCATTTCTCTCTGTCTTTAGGAAATGGAGTTATTTTTTCCTTCAAGTGGAGTTTGTGGTCCCGCAAACACCGCTAAATTTACCAACTGTACCTGTTGCATTATTAAGCCCCATGCCATCAGTGAAGGTAAGTGCTATGTTGAATACAATGTATCTACTACATTTTGTTAATGTTTATTTCTCAATGTATTTTATGTGTAAAAATTGAAGTATAATTTTAATATTTTCATTTTTTCCTTGAAGGCATGTGAATAAAGAGGACATAATATGAAGGGAAAATCTGTCTAAATCTGTATTTATTTTTATCCTTGTGTCTGTAAATTTTAAAAAAGATGTTCTTTGGGTTGCGATCATGGTTATGCTCATCCCATCCCAAGTCTTGAGTCCTTGACTTTTAATCTGCCCCCTTTCCCCCCAATGTGTGACTGATTTGTTAACCCAGTGAGGCAGTGCCCCTAACGCACAGCATAAAGCGATGTCCGCCGCACCTGCTGTGCGCCCTTCTGGGAAAGGTGCAGGCACTTCCTTTGCTTCTCATGATCTGAAACAAACTTCTCTGAGATTCATCGTATATATACATGTACACACACACACACATACGTGTAGATAGATTTGTATATAATGATGCATACTGAGAGTTTGCAAGCTTTTTTCTTTTTCTTCATCTGTTTATTTTAGTCAGTTGTATGTAGTTTTGTTGGCTATCCCAAGTCTGTTTGGAAATGCAATGGGTATGATTTAAAAGATCATCTTTATAAAACTAGACTGTGCCAAAAAATGAGCATTAATTGAATGGGTTTTTTAGTTTTATTTTTTCTAAATGCCATAGTAATTCAGGTATACAGGAGAATATTTAGAAAAAAAATATTCAATAACTTACCTGTTTTCCCATCAGCCTGACAGTCATTGTTAACCTTTTGCTATTTCCTGCAAATCCTTGTCTTCTGCATATGTGTGTGTGTGCATGCTGCGGTGCATGACTGTAACTGTGCAGGTCTACAGGCTGTTTCAGTTTTCAGGAGCGGTTTTGGCTGTTCTTATTTCTTCATAAACAGTTTATGCAATCATAAAAAGGTCATATATTTCGATACTTCAGTTGCTTCTAGTTTTCTCATGTTAAAAATAAAGTTTTGAAAAATTTCTTTGTACATAAATATTTGACAATGTCTCCAGTCATTTCCTCTGGCTAGCTTCCTGGAAGTAGAGCTATTGATTGAATGGATATGAACCTTTAAGATCTTGTTGCATAATTAATAGTTCTTTATCTAGGAAGTACTTTAATAGCTTTTAGATCCTTAGGAATGTAATTACAGGGAACTAACTTGCTTGATGGGTAACACATTTATGGAGAAATCACCACTGTGTGCTAGCTAGTAAACTGAGGGCCTTATACACCATGTCTTTTGATTTTCACAGCAATTATATCAACTAGGTGGATATATCATTTCTTGTCCAGAAAAGTGAGGCAAGGCTGTATGAAATATGTTATTTCCTTAGTTTAGAGTAGGGGATCCCAGAGGCTGACCCTGGCTCTGCGTACTCTTTTTCTACAGGTATTGTCCCACAGCCACCCATACATGATTTAATGTGATGAGACAAATGCTTCTTGCTTAGAGGTCTCAACTTTGTAAAATCTTATCTTTGGCATCTCAGTATATTCCATTTGCTTTTCACCTGCTTCAGTTTTCCCCGAGAAAAATGTGATGCACGCAAAGAGAAATAAAGTATAAGTAAAATAAATACTAGTTATGTACTTTAATAACTGCACAGGTAAATATAACAGACCTAATAAAACAATCATATAAATGACAGGTGATGTCAAAATGACTGATTTTATATTTATACAAGTTTAAATGAATTCTGGTCAGAGCTTTTCTTTAAAGATTCACTATATTTCATCTTTTCATATTGATCTATAGCATTAGAGGCATATGAGTTAATTAAAGCAAAAAATTTTTATAGAATCTAATCAGATGGCTGACTACTCTTTTAAACTTGAACATTTCAAGGCTTTTTCTTATATTTTCGGTCTAACCCTCAATTTTAGGGATCCTTTAAGACCATTTTGAAATGTGTAATTAACCCAGTGAAGCTTAGATTTAAACTGTCGCTCTAATGGAATATACAGTTGACCCTTGGACCACACAGGAGTTAGGGCACTGACTCCCCGCAGGGTCAAAAACCATGTATAGTATTTGACTCCTCCAAAAACTTAACTACCAAGAGCCTACTCTCGGAAGCCTTACCAAGGATAGAAACAGTTTATTCACACATATTATGTATATGTATTATATACTGTATTCTTACAATAAAGAAGCTAGAGAAAAGATTTCTTCAAATTCTTGCAAATCTCTAAGAAATTTTCCACGCAGTTGAAACCATGCCGTTCAAGTGGCAGCTGTAGTTTGAAGTATCATTGAGTTATTATTAGATTCATTTGGTCCCCTTTCAATTGCTGGTTTATGTTTATCTTTTTCCGTAATAATCCCATTTCCTGGTATGTCTAATTGCACCTGTGGTCTAGTATAGTCATGAGAGATGAAGAGACGTTTTTAAAAAGGGGTTGTTGATAAAGAGAGCAGCTGAGATGGAGTAAGGTTGTTCCCCTCTGTTGACTGCGACTCCCCAAAGAAGGCCGGAATAGCCTTGGTCACGAACAGTGATCGCATTCCCCAAAGAAGGCAAGGGTAGTTTTGATCAAGCAAGACTAAGTTTATTGCTCACTACAGAAGGAGAGCACGCCTTGATGGAGCCTCTGTAGACTTTACAAGGGAAGGGGTCGTGGGCAGATTGTAGTTTCAACCTTGAGGGACTGAGGTGGCTCTACCAGCGCAGTGATCTCATTGCACCTGGCAGAGTTCGTGATAGTGTAGGGCTGGTGGAAACAGGCGAGGCATCAGTCTTCACCGTCTTGTAAGTGTGCAGCTGTTTGCCCAGTTGAGGGGCTGTTGTGAAAAAGGGACAGTTTGAGTATCTGTTGTTGGAGTGAGTGGCCTTCAGGGAAGTTCCTGGAGCAAACAATGAGGTTATTTTCTCATTTTCAGCCCTATCTCTGTGGGAAGAACCTCCTGGCACAAGTGACAGGCCCCCGCGGGTGCAGCGCCTCGCTCCTTAGCCCTGCAGTGGGCCTCTCTGGGTGCAGGGGTGCGCTCCCTACTGCCAGGGGAGCTAGAGGAACGGGCTTAGTTTGTCGAGCATATGTTGGGAAAAAGAGAGCAAGTTGTACTGGGGGTGTTCGCGGTGTTTTGTCTGTGTGGATTGAAGTATATTTTGTCATTTGTGGACTCGGGTTTTAAAAGGAAGGAAAAACAGGGTGAATGTTCTTGTGTTTTTCTTTTCTTTATAATTTAAAAATTTGCAGTGTGTGTTTTGATGTCTGCAGTATTATTTATATGTAGTTACTTTGGTTCCATCAATAAAATAAATTAATTTTACTCTGAAATCAGGCTGTATAAATCCCCATCATCAGGTTTGATCATCGACCCCATTTTACAGGAATGGAATCTAAGAATTCGAAGGGCTAGGTAGCATCCTGAGACCCGCTGCTGTTTCCCATCCTGATGCTGCTGCGGGGAGTATTTGCATTAATCCGTGAATACTGAGGTCGGCTGGATGCGGATGTGGGTGGAAAGCCAGTCCTGGGGGAAGGTCATGTGATTGTTATGAAGGGTGAGTTTGATACCTAACATCTTAACTGTTTAGATGGAGCTCAGAGAAATTCTCGCTGTTCTGGAGAAAGGAAGTTAAGAGATGAATGAGGAACAAGTTCTTGAGAATTACGCATTTACAGTACCTCCTTAAAACGCTTCCAGTTAAATGGGAAGAATGCTTTTTGTATTCTTAAAGATGTGTAGTGTAACCAAAAGCTGGCTTTGTTTGTTCTCTCCTATTTTTATATCCCAGGAATCTGCTTTTCTTGGGCAGAACTCACCCCTTCCAGGCGTCTCTGTGCTCGTTCCTGCTCGCCCGCCAACGGCTGCCTTCCAGCCCCCGACCACCCCTGCGCCTTCCCGCCTCCGGCCTCTGTGTGGCTTTGCCTCTGCCGGGATGCGGCTCCCCCTTCCCTCCCCAGCCCCAGGCTGTCCGTGCCTCCGGGAGACACCCCCAGAAAGTGCTGCGTCCCGTCCCTGTTCCTGGGGGACAGCTTGTCCTGACCCTCAGCTACTTGTCAGGCCTTCAGCTCAGTTTTGGCTTTTACGTTTTATGTATGAATTTATGCAGGTACAATATACAATATGTATTATGTATTGATCTTGACGAGTGGTTTTTGTCAGTTTCCTCCCCCAGGTAGCAAACCTGATTGCAGGGACAGTTTTATTTCATAGCCATACTCATGGGAGTATTTTGTCCTCCTCATTGCAGTTTTCTGTTTCAGCCCACGTGCTAAGAGGGGTCCAGAAGTGTTCAGACACTGCCAGAGAAATGTGGTCTCTAGGACAACCGGTTCTCTGAAATTTCTTGATGTCTTTTGTTACTTAGTACATGGTTAATCTAAAGAAAAATTTCCAATGTGTGCTTGAAAAAAAGGGTGTTTATTACATTCTTCTCTCCTTATATGCAAACAACTTGATTCAAACCTGTTCAGCTCTATAGCCCCTACTGCCTTCTATTTGTCTGCTTGGTGTAACGGCTTCTAAAAAAGCTTTGTTAAATCTTCCATGTAAAAATTACCGATCATTATGAAGTTGCCAAATTCTCTTTTTAATTTGGGCTGACTGTGTTTTGTATGTTCTGCAGCTCATTGTCATGTGTGATTATTGCATCTTTTTGCTCAGTACTTGTGACTTACTTTAGTTCCTCTGTCTTTTGTTGTTTATCTTAAAGGATAATAAATCTTTTTCCATTTTTTTTATCCTTTGGCTTCTAGTATGTAGCTTATAGTCACTATCATCAAGTTTTGTTTAATTTCTATTTAAAAAAATTTTTATTTTTTCAATCCAATCTTAGAATCGTTGAATTTATCCTCTTGCTGTTTATTGTGATTACTAATCTACTTGGATTCCTTTCTTTATCTTGCTTACAGTTTTTCATTCTTTCCCTCTGCTCCTTGCCCCCTACCCCCTGCCTTTTCAGCCTTCAGCTGGATGGATAAAGTTATCTTTATTGCCTCTTTCTCCTTTGTTTAAC